ACGTTATATTAGCGCAGCAAAAGCACGCAAACTTCAATCTGCAGCGCGATGGCACGACCGGAGGTCAAATTCAGTCAGGTATGTCTGTCATTGCCATTTCTGGCTGCTATCCTGTATTTATAATTTGTAATCTTACAATTACCCAGTGGAAACTAGTGGATTTGTTTTGTGAACTTTGATCAGCGTGACACTAACTCCAGAAAATGTTGCATGCCAGCCACTGCTAGTTTTGCATTCACGCTTACGACTTTGTTTTTACAGCTGTTTATCAACAATGAGTATGTGAATAGTGCGTCAGGGAAGACCTTCGAAACCATAGACCCCTCCACCGAGAGCGTCATTTGTCGTGTCCAAGAAGCCGAAGCCGCCGATATCGACAAGGCGGCGAAGGCAGCAAAGAAGGCCGTGGCACTGAACTCCCCATGGCGCACTATGAATGCTTCGGAACGCGGCCGACTTCTCTTCATTCTGGCTGACCTCATTGAGGAAAACAGTGACTATATTGCGGTGAGTTCCTGGCGTCTGCATTACAAACTTAGTAACTTTTAAATACTTCGTTTCTTAGCTCTCATTTTTTTCGGAGATTATATAAAAACGGTTTGTGATTTCAACGAGATTTAGACGTCTATCGAAAGAAACTTTGACAGGAAATTTTATTAACCTTGTCATTGCCGATCTGTTCTAGACGCCTGACTGTTTAGGCCCAGAGGTGAACTATTTTCTGTATTGGAGTTGAGGTTACTGGATTTTCCGTCCCGTAGTCACTTGAGGCTCAATATAGATTTCACGCAGGTGACTAGTTTCGATGCAGGAAGGAATAATGACAATGACCAGAAACGCTGGCGTGGCCATTTGGGGCTGATGGGCCATCGTCAGCCAGCCTTGCCCAGTCCTATGCCATCCATATCTGAAGTTTGATATGGTTGGCTGACGACGGCGTATAAGCCTGAGATAGTCATTCAAGTCCCCTTCCTTTTCGACTGTATTCGATCCCACAACTTTCGGTCTGACAGCGGGCTCAAGCACTTTTTTTCAAAATTCCTTCCGTATTTGAGGACTCATAGTGTCTAGCTTCATTTAGCCCTTTCGATAAACGGAAACCTTCATTATCTTTCTTTCGCAGGGCATTTGGAGTTCCTAACGCTGGTACTTGCTGCAGAAGTTATTGGAACCAGAAGGTTTCGCGACTGCTTGTCAGCCGCTGCCTGTTACTGCATAACATTAGGAACAAATGAGAGAAAAAATAAATAGAATTCGTACAAAAATAATAGATTAAAAACGACAAAGTCGTTGTATCCAGTTTGCAAACGTGAGGGCCCCGGGGTAGGAATCTGATAACAAGATAATGCTCACCAGAAGGAAACTTTGTTTTCGCTGACGTTTCGGTGAGCTGGACCGGCTCTCCCGAGTCAAATCGTAATTTGCGATTATTGATGAGGGACTTGGACATGTGACTTAAATTACTGGCCCTGACCTGACCGATTTTTACCCTCGTTCGCTGCCTTGCCCCTTGTAAGGATGTTAACGTAGTTTGATGGCCTTTAATGCTGTTTTTAGTCCCCACGGTGGGTCCGTTGCCGAGCCGTCTTCGTTTGCATTTCTCAGGTTTGGTATTGCCTTGTCCTGGCTTTTATTCATGTAATGGTGCAGGCCATTGCAGGCCGCGGGAAGGTCTGAATGCCTTATGACAGGTGTGTCGTCAGCAGACGATGCCTCAAACATCAGTCGTTCCGCGTTTGAGGTGCCTTGGCCTACGATGGTCGCTCCTTGAGTATTTAAGGTTTGGCCAGGTCCTCCAAAATGAGTTAGAGGTTGCGAGTTTGGGTCTGGTCTCCGAGCCACCACTTTGCGTTCATCTAGGTGGGTCTGCAATTTTCGCCCTGCTTCTCCAACTGGCGGTTCGGAGAATTAACTGTACATCCAGCAACCCCCTACTGCCAAAAATGACAGAACAGTCAGTTCCAAAAAGCTCGTTTTATATCTATGCCCTTTAAGGGGACAGCATTTTAATACTGTCAAGCAACACTTGCGTTGTATCACTGAAGGGACATACAATGCGGTCGAGCTCATATTTTTTAGTCCTACAAAGCCTCTACCAATTCCACGTTCAGAAAATGGCTTCCCAGTGTGTGTCATTTCAAGCTGTGTCTATGAATGTACATTCACCTGAGGGTGTCAGTACATTGGGCGAACGCAACGGCAATTGGCAGCCAGATCGATCGAGCACCTGCCTAAATGGCTGTAAAAGCAGCAAAACAGAATTCCGTGCCCATCCTTTACTAAACA